GAGCACGGGCCGCTGGCGAGCGGACAGGTTCACCTAAAACCGGGAACCTGCGCTCCATGTGCACCCAACTGACCTCGCCCGGAAACCCTGGCGCCAGTTTCCAACATACTCCTTCAGCACCGGCACGGAGCACCCTCGAGATCCGACCAGAGAGCGCCCTTTCTTCCTGCTGAATTCTACACTGAGACTTTTCTGCCCCAGGAAAACGCCACTTTGCTTCATTTAAGAGGAACTGAAGAATGAGAACAGGAGAAATAAAATATAAATGGAGTTCTGCTTTCTTTTGAAGCCATTTTCCCAAGACTGCATATTCTCTCCTTAGAAATAACTTCCACTTTTATAAAGTGCGTGCCTGACTTTTAAAATGCATCCCACCCTTTTTCTCCAAATGTAGTATATATTTTTGCACCTCGATTTTTGGCCATCAAAGTGTATCCTAGAAGTTTCATCTTTGTGTGTATGTTCTCCAGTCATTTAAATGGATATGGTTTTGTTCGAAATTTTCTTCCTTTCCCATATAAAGACTTCCAGTTGAGGAATTTTCTTCACTCATTAGAAAGGTAACTAAAGTAAAAATAAGAAGCAAAGTACTAAGAGGGAAGTGAGAAGGGGGGAGGAAATAAGGGAAAAGAAAAAATGTGAAAAAGGAAAAAATGGAAGCAAAGTCTTTGTAAATAGGGAGGGGTGAAGGAGGTGAAGGGAGGGCAGGGGTGTGGGGAAAAAACAAGAACCAAGATACATCACGTAAAGGTACAAGATCCCAATGATAAATGTAACTGTGTTGTTTACTTTAAATGTACCAATAAACTTAATGGGGGGGGAAGAAGCAGAAGTAGTAAAACAATGTAGCAAACAAATATAAAAAATAAACATGCTGTGAAATGAAAGAGATGTATAAGAATTGTATCTTATAAACTCTGTCTGGCCAGTGCTGAACTTTATTTATTTATTTATTTGTTTATTTCCCAAACACTCAAAAATAAAAAAGAAATTCATGTTTGTGAGTTCACACAATTTTCAGAATTGGAAAGCTTTTTTGTTTTTCTCTTTGCTGAAACTCTCTTCCTGCTGCAATTTAGAGAAATTTAGTTCTTGACAGCTGGAACTAAATAACCTTGCCAGCAAATTATATCCTCTGCCATTTACCCATGTTACAGGTTTTATTAGCAGCTTTGTACTAACTCATTCGTGTCCTTTATCCCTTACACCTTTGCCTAGGCTTCTGCTTTATGGAATGCCTTTAAGTGATACTTATTCTGTAGTTCGATAAGAATCTGGAACAGTTCCAGAAAGATGTAAAGGAAAATGGCCCAAAGGCAAGTTCGTTTTCAGAAATAAAGCATGAAGTGATGACATAAAGGAAAAGATGAACTCTGGCTTACAAGAGCAAAAATATAATGGCAAATGCCTGCTCAAATACATTTTCTTTTTTCTTTCTTTCTTTCTAACCTCTCACCCTTCTTTTGTAATTGAGAATTGAACCCAGGTTCTTCACACTTAAGTACATCCCCAGACCTATTTATGTAGTTAGTTACTTAGAGCCATGCTACCTCTAAGTCACTGAGTTGCCCAGGGTGAGTTTGAATTTTCAACCCTCCTGCCTCAAGCCCCCCAGAGTGCTGGGATTACAGGCATCCACCACTACACTTGGCTTCCTCTTTTTTTTTTTTTTAATATTCAGAAAAAACACAGATTAAAAAATAAAAATAAAAACCTCTGGAGTCTGTGTTCAGGTTTGGGTTTTGAAATTAGAAAGATCCCGATTCTGTGATCTTTGATACCTGGGCTCAGTGTCCTTCTTGCAAATATTGACTGATAATCAGATTGAAATGAGATGCCTATAAAAACAATGACAAGTATAAATTGAGTACATGGGTGCAAATACCTAGTAGTGCCCTAGTGTCCACCCCAACTCACTTCATAATTTAAGCCTAAAATGAAGTAAAACACGAAGATAGTTTTATTAGTGTGCAACATAAGAGGAAACACAAAAGTTTTTAAAAGGAAGAAAACTACAAATGATTATTACTTTAAAGCAAACATAAAAAGGAGCTTGTCTCTGGTAAGCAACATTCGAAGAAACTCAGTCTCAAGTTGAAGCTTGCACTGTCTTGACAACATCAAGATAAGCTTCCTAGCAGGCCCTAGCAAAAGCACCAGTTCCTGCAGGATGGGGCAAAGTTGGGGGACACTGACATTTAAAGCTGCGGCGTTCACCTCCTTACTGGAAACTAGATGCAGGCAAATGTAACAATGGGTCGCTTTGTTTTCCATGCTATGTAGATGTCTGGAGAACAGAATCATCTCGGCCATCGTGTGAATGAATATAGGAAGTAGTGAAACGGACCTTAAAAGACATCCTTTCTTCTGTATTGTCTTTGGAAGCTGTCCAGGTTGGCAAAGCTATGGAGGGAAACAGAGATCTACCTGTTCTTCCAAGTCCAGAATAGAGCAATTTTAAGAGAACTCCACCTCCGTGATCTCATCTGATCCTGCATATTTGAGGAAAATATTAGTATCCCACTTTGTAGATGACAGACAGAAGCTAATTAGTGACAAAATGGATCTTGAACTGAAACTATTCTTTCCAAAACATGACAAGATTCTTCCCAGGACTCAAAGCCTAGGGGAGGAGGTAGTATAGGAAGATGGTAATGCAAAGAAAAGAGAAGTAAAATTAAGTACTATACTAAATACAGTGCTGTCATTAGTGCATGTGGAGATCAAAATACAAATAATCTCCAAAAAAAGTTTATCCATAGCATTTTGGTTTTTGGTTCTTGTTTTTTGGGTTTTTGGGGGGTGTTTTTTGTATGTGGTATTGAACTCAGGACCGTTCTCTTGCAAGGCAGGTACAGGACCACTGAGCTATATCCCTGGCCCTCTCCAAATGCTGTAAATGTAAGCTTTACATACATGTCCATGTAAGAGGGATAGGAAGGTATTAAAGTGATCCAAGATGGTAGGAAGGCTGGGCATTTGTCAGAGTCAGAATACTGGATTTCTATGGGGTATTTTGTTGAATATCAGACACTTTAGATTGAAAGATTTGTTGCCTGTAAAAGATTTATTCTTTCCTTCTTCTTCTAACAGTCCTCAGGTTTTCCTTTTGAGAAGAAATATCCCTTTCCCTCCCTCATTACACAACACTAAGCTCTAGAAATGGACTTGAGGGTCCACTTCATAGTGTATCTATGGACTACACAGAGGTTTGTTCAATCAGAGTCCCAGGGATTAGGGTGTTTGTTCAATAGATTATTAGGTTTCACCTTTTTCCTTACTGGAGGTGAGTGAGGACTAGGCCCATGTGAAGCAGCCTGAGGACAGAGCTCCAAGCCAGGGAGGACAGAGCCAGGGAATCGCAGGACTTTGACAGAATGATAGATGAAGTAACACTTTCCTCTTCTCAGTCCATTGCCCCAATAAACCTTCCTTATAATTTATGCCAGTTTCAGTTGCAATTTCTGTGGTTTAAACAAAAGCACTCATTAGAGGTGATAAGAGAAGTGAAAAGAGCTCAGGTTTTTAAAGAGAAAAGTAGGTTTGAACTGCGGCTGTGTCACTTACCAGCTAGCTATGTAACTGGAAATTAATTACTGTAAACTCTTCAGGCCTCAACTTCCTGATCTACAAAATGAGATAAGGAAAGGATTAAATTATATAATTTATACATGTCTAGTATAGTTCCTGCTATATAAGAATGAGCTGATAATTAATGGTAATTATTGTATTTGTGTCCTAAACTTTAACACAAAAGGCATGCTTTATGACTAATAATTTTTTCATAAATTATTGTGTCAGACTATATAGTGCAATTAAAAGACTTGACTTTGATTCTGCCAAAGGGTAATCTTGAGCAGTTCTTTTAGGCCTCAGTTTCCCCCTTATAATTTGATCATGGCTACCAAGAAAAATCTCCAAGAATCCTTTTAGCGCAAAATAATAATATATAATTCAAAATTACTGTACTTAAGTAACAGCATAAGCTGCTAGAGAAAGGGCTCACATTCTTTCTTTGACCTTAATGGTAGGCTACAAGTAATATAGGTGAAGAATGAATTTACAAAATCTTAAGTGTTTCCACATTGAAGTCAGAGAGCTAATTTGGAGATAGACCTTTATGTCCACAGATCAGTTACTTGTTCATAATAGATACTTGTATGGATGCTATATTAGTCAGCTTTGCATCACTGTAACAAGCTACCATTAACTTCTAAAGAAAAAAGACATTTTGACTCATGGTTGTCGAGGTTTCAGTTGTCGAGGTTTTCATAGGTGAAGAACCCTAAATGAGAGCACTGAGTGCTCTCATTACTGTGGGACTGTGGCAAGGGCCGCACATCATGGTGGGAGAGGATAGGACAGGAGGTGGAGTGAAATAAGATACTGGTCCCACAATCCCCTCCGAGAGCCTGCTGCCAGTGATTTCCCACCAAGACCTTGCCTCCTAAAGGCCCCAGCCTCCCAACAGCAGCACTTTGAGGACTTAGCCTTTAATATCTGGGTCTGTGGGCTAAGAATTAGCTCAGTGGTGCCATGCCTGCATTGCAAATGCAAGGTCCTGAGTTTGATCCCTGGTACCACAAAACAAACAATGTGTGTGTGTGTGTGTGTGTGTGTGTGTGTATATATATATATATATATATACACATATGTATGTATGTATATACATACATATATATATACATATGTATGTATGTATATACATACATACATATACATATATGTCTGTGGTGGGATACCCATTCAAACCACAGCAGATGTATATAATGTGGTAAAAAAATTAAAATCTGTATATATATGTGTGTGTGTGTGTGTGTGTGTGTGTGTGTATATATATATATATATATATATATACACATATGTATGTATGTATATACATACATATATATATACATATGTATGTATGTATATACATACATACATATACATATATGTCTGTGGTGGGATACCCATTCAAACCACAGCAGATGTATATAATGTGGTAAAAAAATTAAAATCTGATTTAGGAATCAGGAGATAGACATTTTTTTCTCTGTATAACTACTCATTATTCAACCCTGAGAAAACTGCTGAAATTTCTCAGTACTCAGAATCTCAGTCATAAAATGAAGGACGTTGAGTAGCTCTATAAGGTAAATGCTATGCTGATTTAGTACACTTAGCCCTCTAATTTGGAAGTAGGCAAATTTTTCATGGCCTGTATACTTAAAACACTTTTC